TTTTCTTACCCCCCTTCACTTTATATCTTGTTGTTATGGAAATTGCAAAGGTTTCCTACTATACTCTTGATTTTGATTCTTGTTCCTAAGTTCCGTGAGCTTTCTATGAAGTTCTTATCTCTTCAAAACTTCCATGTTTCCTGGGTTTCACTTTATTTAGCTAATGATTTATAATTTCAGAGTTTTCCTTGCATTCTTTATGGATTCAACTTGACTATACAGCTGTTCTGATTTTCACTATTTGGTGAAAATTATTTTAACTTAAAATTATGACCTTAACAATTTTGCACTTCAAAACAAGGTACTTAATTCTATCACAAGTTTCACTTTTTGCTCCAATATATGCTTGATATATTTAAGGTACTGGAGATTGAAGTAAGGAACACTCTATTCCTGAGCTACATCCTCAATCCTTTTTATTTTTATTTTGAGACAGAGTTTTACTAATTTGCCCAGGCTGGCCTTGAACTTCTGAATACCTGGGATTACAGGTGTATATCATTATACCTGTCTGTTTGATGTACTTTATATCATTATAGATTTAAGCATATGATTCCGTCACATCTGTGTTTCTTTGCATGTAAATTATATTTTTGGATGCAGGCACTTTTCTCTTAACCAAAACTTGTTTGTACCTAATGTGCAAATTCCTGATATTGTGCTAATAATGTTCTGTAATTTATGAAAGTAACATCTGGCATGGCTTCTAACATTGTGATAAATCCCACCTTCTCCAGACTTTCCAGGTCATGTAACACTTCCAGAACCCTACAGGTGCAACCTGCAATTATCAATGGGAAAAATTACCCCAAAACCATTTCATGTTATCAGGGAAGGAATTCTCACAGCAGGGAACAGTTCAGCTCCCTCTCCAGTCTGCCTCCTTCCTGAAGATGGAAGCCATGCTTGTTGACCACCTTCACTGTGTGCAGGTTTTACGTCCACCCCTTCTGTTGGTCCTCCCAGCCAAGGGAAGGTTGCTACAGCACTCAGCATGCAGAAGGCAGAGGGTGTGCTCAGTTGCCCATATCACAACACAGGGTTGTAGTAAACGCCCTTGCTGTCGACTGGACACACCTTTCAGACTGGGTGCTCAGCACTGCATCTCTGAAAGTTTTTCCTATGACCCACCTCAGGAAATCCTCTATTTGTTTATAGTCTACCAAAATTTTCCAGTCCAGCCTGAGCCTGGCTATAAAGTACTTAGTTTCTCATTTCCAGTCTATGAAACCTTGTATGTAATAGACAAAAGTAATTTAAATGGTTTTTTTGTAGTGGGACTTGTATACATATTGACAGAAAATAAGTTAAATATCTTGTAGAAATCAACCTGCAGCAGGAACACGGGCCTATGAGGCCCCCTATGAGGCCTTTATGATGTAGTTCACAATTCAGAGTCTTCAAAAGCTTGAACTTTAATAGACATTTGACCCCTGGTCAGTTTATTTTATACCATCATAAACTTATCTTTCTCTGAAATTTTTTTGTATTAAATGAACCCATCAATTTTTAATTAAATCCCTTTTACAAAAATGCTGAATTGAAATATGGAAAACATGCACATCGGGGAATGGAGGGCATTGGATGATGACAAAGCTCTCAAGGGGGAAATCAGTAAAGTGACCCATGACCAGCCTCACCTAATTAAGTTCCACCTTTCAAAGATTCTAGCATGAAGAGCACCACCAGCTGGGGACCTGGACTGCAGCACAGGGGCCTTTAGGGACATTCCAGATCCAAGCTACAATACTGCCTGTAGTCATGCCAGGTCACATCTGCTTCACATGCACCTTGATATTGTGTGTTAGTGCACACGCACACAGACACACAGACATACACACACAAACACATACATTCACAACTAGGTGAAGAATTTCCTTTTGGAATCTGGTCAGACACAGTAACTGTCTCTTTGGAAGACTCCATCTGTTGCTAATTAGACCTACAGTAATGGCCATAGCTGTGTCTCTGTGGAGATGGACCCCTTGGCCATGGGCGGTATGCCAGTAGGCATGGATGAAGACCTCATGTGAACAGAGGCGAATGGCTTCAAACATGTTCCTGTCCCAGGCTGCAGGAAGAGGGAACTAAAGTAGGGAAGCAAAACTTTCAGAGCCCTCACAAAAGAAAGCAAGTCGACAGGACAGGAGAATCAATGGAGAGCCATGCGTGTCCTGGCCCACGTCTGGAGAACACCAGGCGGGCAGCAGAAGTCCTACTGCAGAAGTGGTTCTTAAGTAGAGAATTCTGAATGCTCCCAATGCAAATAACTGATCCAAAAAATTGTGTGAATGCTAATTGCCTTTGATTGATCTTTATAAAACATGTGTATTGAAACCTCACACAGTCTCCATAAGTAAATATATTTTGGTGAAGAGCACTTTAGAAGGTAGCACCAAGCAAACTGAGAGGGATCTAGACTCGTGCCTAAGCACCACTAGACACGTGTCTGTGTGTACTTCAGCAGGTGGCCAGCAGGCCTTATGAGCTCCACAGCTGATCACTGAGAGATGGAGAACCTGATCCCTGACTCAGTTTCACTTATTGGAATATTTTAAGGATATTTGAAACAACCTTTGTACAGGAATCTCTTTTTCCCATAACAAACTTCTTGATTTTTAAATATGAATTATTTCCAGTGAAAGCTTTGTGACCAAAATGAATAATTACATAAGTGAATTTTAAACACCTGATATGAAACCTATAGTCTCACTCGTACTTCATGTTGAAATGATTGTGTTTTAGATCCTGTGTTTGTCACTGTCACTTTCTGTCACTGTGACACCACACCCAAGACAACCTCCTTAGGTATGAGAAGACGGAGTCATGGCTTCAGATGTCCCAGCCCATGGTCAGTTGGCCTCAACCATCTGTGCCTGTGGCAGGACAGATGTGGTGGAAGGAACTCACAGAGAGTTCAAGTTGCCCCTGCTGGCATCTGGGAAGCAGAGAGTGTGCGGGGTTCCCCACCTGCCTCTCCAGGGCAGCTCAAAGACTCATCCCCCCCACAGCCTCCAGAGGGCTCCACCATCTCCCTGCAGCACCACAGCTGGTGCCCCTGCCTTCCAATCTAGGCCCTGGGACACTCCAATCCAAACTGTGGCAGAGACTGGGTTAAACTGTGTCATTCAAAGTGATGGCACC